AGAGGTGCAAACAACAGAACTTGGATGTGGGAGCACAAGAAGTAGAAGTAGTCTAAGATGTTTCAAGCCTAATGTATGAGAGGATGTTGCCCTTCTGAACAGAAACAGGAGATTAGGAGGATGATCAGGCTTTCCAGAGAAAATGAATTAAGGTTTGGGAATATTTAATTTGAAATGTTGGTGGTTCACTTATATTCAAGTGTGAAGCAGACACTTGGAAATGCATGAAGCTCAAAGAGGATATAGGATTTATGAGAATGAATAGAATTACCAAGGGAGAAAGAGAGAAGAGGATGGTAGAAAAAAGAAAAATGTGAGACAAAAATAGAGAAGACAGTAGGTGCTGTCAAAAGAAAGTATAATGAGAATCTGGAGGGTAGAGTACCTTGGACACCAAGGGAGGGGAAAGTTTTTCAACAGGATGATTGTGGATGAAACTGAGAGGTGTTCTTTACAATGATTCCCTTCTCTTCAGTAACAGAAACTGGTACCTAGAAAGGGGCTATATTGTCTAGTCTCCTTTATAGCTAGAAGTGCGTATTTACATAGTTTGGGCCAATGAAATGCAATCATACATTTTCTGTGTTACATCCAGGAAGTCTCCTTGAAAAGGAGGGGGGGCATACTTTTATTTTCCCTTCCTGCTCCTAATAATGGCTGGAGCTCCAGCAGATAATTTTTGGATCATGAAGAGATCTCAAGAATGGGAACTGCACATCAAGATATGGAGCAGCACAATACAGCATCCTAGTTTCCTGCCATCAAGGAGCCACCACGTCACCTCTGAAAGATTACTTCTAGATTTTCTTTTTTTAAGAATAAATAAACATGCAGCCATACTCAAATAAGAATTGATAAAAAAATTATTGATTATTTGGTGTGGGAGTAGAGCCCAGTTGGGGGCATTTTCCAAATAATGGCTATGAAAACAGGTTCTAGAGTCAAACTGACTAGCATTAAATTCAGCTCCATCATTCATTAACTATGTGACATTGAATAAGAAATTTAACGGCTCTAAGCCTCATCATATTAATAGAGTAGACATATTAATAGAGCCTACCTCATGGGTTATGTGAGAAATGATTTAGATTATTGATGTAAAGTGCTTCACACAGTGCTAGCACATAGTAGGTGCTTAACGAATGTCAGTGAAAAAACCTCAGGTGGTCATTGGGTAATATGGTTTAATTTTTAAAATACATTTCATGAAATGAAAATCAAAACTACAATGAGGTACCACCTCACACCAGTCAGAATGGCTATCATTAAAATGTCTACAAGTAACAAATGCTGGAGAAGGTATGGAGAAAAGGGAACCTTCCTACACTGTTGGTGGGAATGTAAGCTGGTGCAGCCACTATGGAAAACAATATAGAGGTTCCTCAGAAAACTAAAACTAGAATTATCATATGATCCAGCAATCTCACTCCTGGGCATATATATGGACAAAATTATAATTCAAAAAGATACATGCACCCCAATGTTCACAGCAGCACTATTCACAGTAGCCAAGACATGGAAACAACCTAAATGTCCATTGAGATGAATGGATAAAGAAGATGTGGTACATATATACAATGGACTACTACTCAGCCATAAAAAATAACAAAATAATGCCATTTGCAGCAACATGGATGCAACTAGAGCTTACCATACTAAGTGAAGTAAGTCAGAAAGAGAAAGACATAAGATGTCACTTATATGTGGAATCTAAAATACAGCACAAAGGAACCTATCTACGAAACAGGAGCAGACTCACAGACATAGAGAACAGACCTGTGGTTGCCAAGAGGAGGGGATTAGGGAAAGGATGGACTGGGAATTTGGGGCTAGTAGATGCAAACTATTACATATAGAATGGATAAATAACAAGGTCCTATTGTATATCCTGAGATGAACCATAATGGAAAAAAATATAAAAAAGAATGTATATATGTGTATAACTGAGTCTCTTTGCTGTAGAGCAGAAATTAACACCACATTGTAAATCAAGTATACTTCAATAAAAAATAAATTAAAAAAACACATTTCATGAAATTTCACGATTTCAGAATATCCAATCCGCAGTTTAAAGAAACATAAATTTATATTAAACGAACTACTGAACATAAAATATACTTTGTAAGCTTCAAATCATATAAATGAAAATTTTTACCATTTTAACTTGAGTGCATATCACTTTACAACATGACCTCTAATAACACTGACAAAGTATATTCATTCATTTGATTTTGATACATGCCAAATGATTTATTACCATTCCTTGATTTTTTTTTTTTTTTTTACAAAAAGCAAAACAATGGAAAACCAATAAGTCATAATGGGTTGAAGAAATTAGTTTCAAAAACAATTCAGTTTTATAATATTTATAAGGTATTTAATGCTACTTAAAGCAAATTTGCACCCCCCAAGCTTTATTTTTAAAGTTTATTCTTGTGGGAGCCAGCACAGAGAAATGGAAAGAACCCAAATTTTGCAGTCAAATAAACCTGAGTTCAAACACAGTTTCCATCTCTTACTAATACTATGGAAATGGTTGTATAGTGTGGTTGATTAGCATTAAAACTATTTTGTAGGAACTGAGAAATGCTGAACCAAATTCTTTACTTTGTATTCATAAATAATTATAATACTGTGTTAACATTTTAATTTTTTTAGCAGTACACTCATTCTAAACTATTTAAGAAATATTTACCACACTGAGAGATAATTAAAAAGGTTGCTGTTCTCATTTAAAAATATTTTCCAATTCTTAAATACTGTGTACCATTCTGGTTACTGAACCATAAGAGGGAAATAATAGCTGGGAAGGGTAGACAGAAGAACAGCCACAGTAATTCAAGGAAATAAAGGAAGGATTTTCACACTAAAAACTTTTCAAAGAAAAGCCTTTTGCAAGGAACACAGAATTCTTAGAGATGAAGTGTTACAAAATCAAAGAACGTAGAGGTTGTACCTCAGTGGTGTGATATTTAGATGGGATCTGGCCACAAGGCTCAGAAACACTAGAGTCCTGCCATTGATCAGCTACCCCTCTCTGTGAGGTCGTTGAGGAAAGAACATGGACTGAGGAGGCAGGCGACATAAGGAAATTCTACATTTCTAGGTGGTACCTAGGTCTTAAGGCTACAAACTACCCTTTAGAGACCTGTAAATAAACTAGGATACACCTATGAAGAGCTCCTTTTGTCTAAGTTAGGTTAGGTCCAGTGGACAAAAATCAGATCAGACAGAAAGCATATAAAGCCTGCTTTATCACTTCCATTCCCAGTCTCAAAGCCAACACTACCCCAGGAAAGAGTAATCTAGACTGTTGCAGATGTGAAAAGCCAGAAGGAGGATGTGAGAGCCTTCACCAGTGCCTACAGCAAAATGGCTGGCATCTGAATTTGCTTTTTGGGGTCCCCATATAGTTGAGTATCTAGTTTCTTAGTAGGAAGAGGGGGTATCCAAGGTACTGTAATATTTTTCTTATCATTTTATTCATCTCTCTTGTCATCTCTTATTATGAATTACACACGTCTCTTTTTCCATGAGATATAGAACTCTTGAGGATGAAGACTTTCTTATATCTTTGTATCCCCATAACTTAGCAGGATATTGAACCTACGGCATATGCCAGTAAGCGTTTTTTAAGTGACTAAATGATTATTCAGGAAGCTACTGAGTAGGAAAAAAGGTACTACAGATACATTCTTGAGAGGCAGATAAGGCTTGTATGGAGAGCATTCTAAAATATATGGAACAATTAAGCCACAATAAATGACCCGCAGAATTGAGTACTGAACCGTGTCCTCCAGAGTATAAATAAGTACAAATTTGTAGTAGTAACACATTAAAGTACTGTAGCTCATTTGGGGGTAAGGCATGGTCAAGATGGGATAGGATTTGTTTAAGCCTTTAGAATGGTTAGAAACTGGATGGAATCCTTGCTGGGAAAAAACAAAAAAAATCCTGAGACAACTTTTAGGTGGTTTCTGACATAGACTCCTTAAGGCCTTTGAAGAAGCCTGGTTTCTTTCGCCTAAGGTTAAGAGACTCCTTGGTTTAGTGAGGTGGACTGGGCTTTCTCAAGGTCTTTGCTCTACTTATACACAATGTAATAAATCAACGCTGCCGTTGCCTGGTATCTGACAACAGGAGCAGCTTTCAGTTACCTGAATTTGCATTGCTTCGGTTGGTGAGTTTTTCGTCTCCTTCCCCCGGTTCTCTGTTTCTTGTCATCACCACCTTCTCGGTTTCTCTTAGCACCCTTTGGACTATCTATGGGATAAAGTCAGAGCGCTTTCCCCCTAGGGTGCGAGTATAGTCGTGGTAGGAGTTGGGGAGGGATGAGGTTGCGGAAGCGTTTCCCTTTGCACTAAGGCTTTTCTTTCACAGTAGTTGCTAGTCTCTTCCCAGCCGCCCTGACTTAAAGGGGAAATGGACCACGGTCAAATTACCCCTAACGCCTTCCAATGCGTTTTCTAGAGCTTTTCTGAATCGCCACGCAACGCGATAAAAGGAGCAGCGGGCCTCGGCCCCGCCCTCTGCTGGAGGACGCCGAGACCGCGGGGCGGAGCGAGTGGGGAAGGCTTGCAGCTCGGTGCGCATGCTCCCAGGGCTCGGCCAGGGAAAGGCGCTTGAACCTCTCTCCCAGAGACTTCCGGGTGGAAAGAAACGGGCGGAGCCAGCTCCGGAAGCAGAGGGGTGGGCGCCTACTATTTAACCTCCTTCCTTGGAGGAGCGCTTCCGCTCTCGGTTGGTGAACGGGTGAGCCTGCGGGAAGAGTTGTTTGTGCTCATGCTCCTTTTCAGTTTTCCACGCGGCTAGAAATCGACCTGGGAGTATTCTGACACCAATGAGCAGGTGGGGCGATAGCCCCTGCGCTGGCACCTCCATTTACAGAAGTTTTTCCCGGGTCTCCTGAAATTGTTGACGGCTTCTTTTTGCTCCACATCTCTTCTAGCCTCCCTGTTGTTAATCCCTTTGCAGCAGCTCACCCTTCCCCCCACGCCATTATGTATGCTTGGGCTCCCCGTGTGCTTAGATTGGCTGAAGCTGGCAGCACTGAGGATTATGTGGGTCCTGGATCCTACCAGGTACCTTTCCTGAAGCAGCAGGCAACAGGTAAGGTGTAGAGAAAGGCAAGCCTTCTGTAACAGGCGCCTCACTTTCAGCCTGCTCCGCTTCTGTGTGCCTGAGTTAAAACACTGTAGTACCACTTCATAAGTATAACACATGAAGTAGGCAGGGAAAATACTATCCTTATTTTACAGATGATAACTGGTAAAATAATTTGTCGCATTTCACAAGGCCAGTAAGCGTACGGTGAAGACTTTTGATTTTACAGTGGCTGTCCACATCATACTTTAAATGGTAGAGATTAGATCTAGGATTTTTATTTCCTGGCCCCCTTGACTATGTGAGTCTCCAAATCTCCTGTGTACTTCTTACCGCTTTCTGTCTCTTTTCTTTGTAATCCTGGCTGCCTCACATACCTAACTAACCAGAGAAACATTAACTTACTGAGATATAACTTTTATATTTCTGTTTGGGAATACCTTTTAAAGATAGTCCCATGTATTTTTTCAGGTAGATGCTTCCCATCTTACCATACCCCTCTTTTTCAACATACTTAACGAGAGCCTGTTTATCCCACATTCTGTAAAGAAAAGCTGTACTCTTTGAGAGGTGGGGTGGGAATGGATAATTTAAATAATTACTTGCTCTCATTTGTTAGCAATTTTAGTGGCTTGGGGGTGACTTTTAATAAATACTTCTAATTTGCTTTCTGCTTTTTCTAATCTGATGAGTTTTTTGGGGCTTAATACCATCCAAATTACACTTTTTCCCTTGTTAGCCTGTATTTTCCCTATTGTCACACTATTCCTGTATTTTTAAACAAATGCCAAGATCCACTGTTCTGTCAACATGTTTGATGAGATTAGGGTATTAGGTTGATTTAAGTTTCTTTGGAGTACAAATTTGTCATTTGTTGTTGTTTTAATCTTGAATTTTACTGCTTTTCAGCTTCTGCTATTGATATCAGTGTTCTTGGAGCTTATTATGTCTTTATTTAATGCAGCTGAGTCCTTAGAAGCATTAACTCCCTACCAATTTATTAGCCACCGACGACCACCGAAAATGCTTACACTTATGATACTTTTCAATCCTTATTTTATTTTGACACAACTGACCATTGCCTTTTTAGAGATATTTCTTCCCTTGGTGTCTGTAACATCATTTTTTCCTGTTTCTTTTTCCAACTATTGTCTTGGAACAGTGCCTGATACATGGTTGGGACCTAGTAAACATTTGTTAAATGCTGAATCAGGTATCATTTTTCCGCTCTTCAACCAACCCTCCATAGTCTTCTTTAAAGGTTTTTATTTTTCTAAATACCTTTTAAATGTTTATATACTGTACTTCCCATCCTTTGCTTGTTGCTTTTCTTGTGTTTACTTTTAAATTCAAATCCATAGCTTCAACTGCTATCTATATAATGATTCTGATGACTCCCTAACAGTCTTTAGAGATACAGGTGATTCATATCTCTAAGATGAGCTTTCTCCTGATCATCAGGCCTTTGCATTGCCAATTACTTTTTTTGGACATCTCTACGTGGGTGGTCTCTGGCATCTGAAATTCCAGGTGTTTGAACTTATCATTTTCCCTACCATCACAGACCCCTTTGAAAAAAAAATGCCCTGTCAGTTGCTTATAAACTTTTAGCTTTGGAATTATTTTAGACTCCTTTTTTTTCCTCTGACTGATCACTCCCATTGATCATTACAACCTATTGATTTTCTCTTCTCATTCTCTCTCAAACTGGTTCCCTTTCTTCATTTAACTGCCGTTGACTTAGTTTGGGATTTGTTACTTTTATTCTGAAATAAACCAATAAAATATTACTGGTTTCTCTGTTTCAGCCTCTAACAACTTCTGTCTTATGGCTAATGTAATCTTCCTAAGATATAATTATGTTATTTGTTTAAAAAATTCCTTTTAACACTAAGGTTAAAATATGAACTCCTTAACATGCTGCATGAGATTCTTCATGATCCCTAACCTGGTCTCTCACTTAACCTGATCTTTCCAGGCACCACACCTCCAACAGCACTTAACCTACATATCAGCAATTCCAACTTTGCATTGTCTATAAATTCATGTTCATTCACCTCCACATGCCTTTGTACCTGCTGCTACCTTTGCTGAGTAATCTCTTTTCTTTCCTTACTTGGCTAATTCCTACTTATTCTTTGAGCCTGGGGTAAAGTGAAGTTGTTCTTTGACTCCACTCTGTCTCAGGTTTTTCTTCTTTGACTCCTAATGACTCAAAGCACCATGATACTATATTGTAATTATCTGTTAACTTATCTGGCTGCCACATTAAAATGTGAGATTATTGAGGGCAATAACCAAGATCTCGACTGTGTTAGTCTCAGTTTTTAGCTCAATACCTTAACACATATGTAAAAGAAATAAACAGTAATTCTTGAAAGAAAGTTTAAAAAAATCTAATGAGTTACACATAGCAGAATTAAAAACTCATAATCTGACTTGTGTGAACTTTGCTTAGAGATCAGTAACTGGGGTTTGCAAGGCCCTTCTTTTACTGTTTTATAGAATTGTGCCTTGTTGACCTATGAAGGAAACTAGGAAATTCCATATTTGGGAACTTTGAGCAGCTGCATCCTATAGAACCCTGTTTTAGTAATACTCAGCACTGACATGCTAATAATAATAATCAATAGAGGTTATAGGTGTTTCTTTAGTCATTTCTCTACAGGATTCCCTGGCAAGATAATTTAAAAGTAGCTGTTACCTCTTTCCTAGGTACATTCTGCTTTACACCTCTTTGAGATCAGTAACACTGGACTATACAGAAGTATACACACTTATTTAAAGGTCAGGGAAATTTTGTAGAGTATGATGTAGGAAAAGCGATATTAGGACTTTATGTAATTGTTACCTTGAATTACACAAGAGGAGAAAATCTTAGTCTTAGAACTTCAAAAGAAAGGTGCAGATACTCTTTATTCTCAACCTTTCTCTTCTAATTATCATTCTCCTCTTACTGTAGGCTGCTTGGTCAGTCCTCCGGTGTATTCATATTTTCCTCAGAAAATTCTTTCCACATTAATTTTCAAACTTCATTGCCTTGACTTTTGTCCAGTTGATCAGGGATTTCTACCCAGGATTTGCAGCCGGAAAGGAATAGGACTCAGCTGCTCTGATTTCATGAGTGGGAGAGATAATGGATATTCTGATTCCAGATTAGTGAGAGCTGCTCCTGATTTTCTTGCAAATTATCTGAGAAGCAAGCAAATCTTATCTCATTAAAGCAAAGCTTTCCCATAAATGACCAGCCTAGTAAAATATGATAAAAACATAGTCCTTTTAATAATGTGACTGCTCCTGGCATTATTGTGCTAAGGAGTATTTCATTGCTTTTTGAGCTTGATTTACATAACAAATGGTACCCCATATTAGCATATATTAGTTATCTGTACTGGTTCTATGTTAGTTATCTAGGCTGGGTGACAGTGGTTCTTAATATATTCTTTGCTAAATTTCTTCTTTGATGGGAAAGCAGTTAGTTTTATCTGCCACAGAAGCATGAGCTGTCCATGGTCTTGTACTCCTGCCTATGTGCTTATGCCGGCAATAATGGTTTTATCTTATTAGCCATTCAGAATTTAGGGAGACCATTTCAGGGAATTCTATCTTTATTTAAGTTTAAATAAAAATATGTATGTGATTGCTATATAAATGTTGATGTCCCTGAAGATGAGTATATGTTTCAAAGACCTAGCTATTGCTTTTATGTGAAGAATGCCCTGCTTGATTTGTACTGTAGTTGTGGCTGCAGAACTTGTCCTTTATCCCACGCCTCCCACCTTCTTTCTCAAAAAATAGACTGACTTTTATTGCTTCATGCCGGTCTGATTTCTGCTGTTGGTGCCACAAACTTAATATATCTCAAATTGAACTTACTTCGTTCTTCTCGAATCTTAGCTTCTCCTATATTCATTTCTTCTTTCTACCTGTCAGTTTGATTTATCATTTATTGTTGGAACTTAACATGTCAGTATAGTAATATGTCCCAAATCAAACTTAAAATTTTTCACTCCACCAACCCTAATGTGCCAGAATCGTCTTCTCCTATATTTTGTATCTTAATTATTAGCACTGTTAATAATGTAATTGTTTGTTTGGCTTCCCCACTATTTGAGGCAAGGGTTTTAGCTTATTCATTATTGTACCCTAACTGCCTCTCTCTGACATGTAATAAAGCATTCAGTATTGCTGAATGAATGACTAAAGGTGTAGTTTAGAATATCACCTATTCTATATTTATTGTTTAATATGCACGACAGTATGACGGGGAGACCAACCATCCTGGTTTATCTGGGAATGTCCTGACTTTAGCACTACAAGTCCTGTGTCCTGGGCAAACTAAGTTTGTCACCCTAACTGTACACAGTAGGCATATAGTTATGAATAAAACAAAAAAGTCCCTTCTCTTATGGAGCTTATTAGTATAAACATTTAAATTTTCTTGTGGTTTTACTTGAGCTCAATATTTCATACAATCTTTTAACCTATTGATGAAAGATTCTTTTGTGATTAATATTGGGAAACTTCAATGAGGATTTTATGAGTACTGGCTTTCTTGAACACATGGGGCTATTGTGTAGGGGTTTTTTCCCCCATTTTTATATGAATTTCAGTATTTTGCAATTCATTTTATGTTTCTTTAAATAGATTTAGTTAGCATCTCTGACATGTTCTGATGACAGCTGCCTCAGAACTAGCCTGAGCTTAACTTTCTTAGTTTTCATATCTCACATTACCTAAATGAACATAAATTTTAAAAAATATACCTTTAATTGTGAGATGAAATACTGATGCAGAAAATTGCATAAAATTTAAATAACTTAAAAAGTGAATACTCAAGTAAAGAAATATAACATTGCAAAATTTTCTTTTCCAATCATAACCCTTTCCCTCTCCCCTACAGGTAAGGACTATTCTAATTTTTATGGCAATTAATTCCTTGCTTTTCTTTATGGATTATTAAATCATATTGATGAAATGACCCCTTTAACATAATGAAATGTCTCTCTTATTCCTGGTATTCTTTGTTCTAAAATCTGCTTTGTCTGATTTTAATTTAGTCACTCCAGCTTTCTTTGATACATGGATGTGTGGTATATCTTCTTTCATCCTTTTATTTTTAACCTCTGTGTCTTTATGTTTTAAGAGTGTTTCCTATAGACACCATAAAGTTGGGTCTTGCTTTTTTATCTAATCTGACAATCTCTTTTAGTTGGGGCATTTAGAACTCTTCCATTTAATTTCAGTATCAATATTGTTGTGTTTAAATTTAATCTCTTGCTATTTGTTATGTATTTATTTCATCTGTTCTTTGTTTCTCTTCTTCTTTCGCTAACATAGTTGAATGATTTGAGTTTTTGCAAAAATGGTTCTGTTTTTATCTCCACTATTGGTTTACTAGCTGTACCTCTTTCTTTTATTACTTAGTGGTTGCTCTAGGGTTTACAATATACATCTCTAACTTATCACAATCCACCTTCAAATAGTATTGTACCACTTCATGTGTAGTATATGAGCCATACAACAGTGTGCTTTTGTTTTCCCCGTCTCATTCTTTGTGCTATTGTGGCCATATATTTTATTTCTACTTATGCTGTAATGCCACAATGAATTGAAATTATTTTTATTAAAACAGTCAATTTTTTTTAAAGTGATTAAGAATTGAGAAAAATGTCTTTTATTAACTCACATAAAATTAGTTGTTAATCCCATTCAGTATACTTTTCAGAAGTTTTGGGTCTTTTTTATATCTTTATCTCCTCATCATGTTCATCTTTCTTCTACCTTATTGAACATAGGAAGAATATAATAGATATTTAATGTTTTTTGTGCTAATTCCATCTTCTCATTCCTAAATGTGTTTCTTTTCATTGACTTTTCTCCAGTTTATAGGACATATTTTCCTGCTGCTTGGTAGAACACTCTCTGGTTGTTTTCACTCTTCACTTTATATAATCTGTAGTTTGGTTTCTGTGTGCTTATATGTGTGTTTTGATTGAAATCTGTATCTTGTTCTTTGGTTGTTTACCCCGATTTGGAACATTTCAACTGCTGTCCTGGGTTTCTCGAAACTTGGCTTCCTTTTAAGGATTTCTGTTATGGTCCTTGTGTTGTTTTGTTTGTTTTTGCTTTGGGGTAGATAATTCAAACCATCAGTCACTAAATTAACACCCAGAGTTTTAACATCATTCATGAAGCTTTTTCTAATCACCTCAGTGTGGTTGAGAACTTCTCGTCTTTTTGACCCTCTGGGCATTTTTTAGCACTTCAGATATTTTTCCATGTTTAAAATTATTTTAGTACTTTTCTTAATGCTTCAGTAGGTTGTTGCTTTTTAAGGGTAAGGTCTGCATTTGACTCACCTCTTTTGTGATTTAATACCCAACACAAATAAATAACTTGATTTCAGTTGCATTTTAATACATGAAGGCCTCAAAAGAAACATTATTTCTGGTTTTAAAAATATATTATTAGTCCAGATTAGCAAGCTTTTAAACTATACTAATTATCACCATAAGTCTTCATAGTGTACATTGTCCTTAGTTGTACAAGATTCTCATAAGTTTTGAGTCCTCACTTTCATTCTTTTATTACCTGTTGAATATAGCTGATCTATTTTCTGTCATTTTTTCTTTAGTATCTATGTTGATTAAACTATGCTCATTTTCTTGCTATATTTCGTGAAAATTTTAATCTTTCAGCAGACTAAATCTGTCTACTAAGTTTTCTTACTGAGTATGTCTCTGCTTGTATCTTGGATTTATAAGCCTTTGTTTGGGGTCAGGCAATCAAGAAATATTTACTGAGTGCCAACTATGTACCAAAGCGAGGAAACATATTAATTACTTGCTGTAAGCTCACTCTAAATTATTTCTGTCTAGGCTCTGCCTATAAATTCATATATGCTATTCTCTATAATTAATATGTTTTTCCAATATATAAAACTGTGATCTTCTGAGGATGAAGATATTTTATCAGTTAAATAGAACTTCCATTTTCATCTCAACCAAATATGCTTAGAAGAAAAAAGAGTTCTATTTTCTTTAGATATTTTTTCTGGTGTTTAGTAAGTCCAGTTCTGTAGATTCTTATATTTAATGTACATTAATACAAATTCTGCTCTTACATAAAATTTTTGAAATGCAAAAACTTCTGTGGTTAGACATTAGTTCTAATAATACAGTCTCAGCAATTGAGGTTACCAAATGATTTTATACATTTTGAGTGCTTTTTCTCTGAAATTATCAGAATCCTATCTTATCTGCCGGTGATATAATTTTACTTTCATAGGTGGCTATGCACCATTCCTTTCTTTGGCTGCCAGAGAAAGTACTTTTACTGTTGCCTCTAACACTGAGAAAGCTGTTCCAGGTCCAGGACACTATAATGTTTCAGAGCTGCAGGTAAATTTATAATAGTTATTATAATTGTCGGAGTTAATAAAAATCATGCTTTCTTCCTCTAATAGACTAACATGTCATTTGTCATATTTTATTTTCCCATAATAGGATATTCTTTCACCTTTCAATCTATATTTTGCAATTAGAATAAGAGAAAAACAAATGTGTTCACTGTTGGTTGTCTGGTTGGGTGTTTGTCATTAATCCACATATTCTATAAGACATAAAACATTGTTACATGCCTCATAGACCTTGAGATTCCTGAATGGGAGAATAGGACTACTGAATTAATTAAGGCCCATGAAAGTTGTGCAGATGGTCAAAATATGTAGAATATGTAAATATGTAGAATAAGGATGGCAACAGAGTGAAGGAATTGGTTTGTGTGTCATACTCTAAAGCTATAGCTATTGCCGTTGTCTTCTATTTCTCAAGAGTCTGTGACCAGAATATCTTCATTGGTCCATTTATGTTCAGAAACAGTGGTTGTAACTCCAGTCTTTATAATCATTGATATCAAGTTTTCCCTTTTCACATAAATTTTGTACTCATTCATAATGACTCCTACTTGACCCTAGCAGACCTTTATCTCCCCTGTTGGAGGCCCAGATCAAGTCATTGATGCCTTAATTTTTGCATTAGATTTTCTCGATTATTAATGGCAATGATTCTACCAGTTAGGGGTTTTTGGTTGCAAGCAATAAAGTGGATTTTTAAAACAGATACTAGGTTTATCATAGATTTATAGGTAAGGTACTTGGGTGGCTCATAGACTTGAAGGAAGAATTGAGCAGTCAGGACTTAAAGAAGGATAGGACTAAGATAATCCCAGGTATTTCGGTAGTAAGAACTTCTGCGTCATTCAATGGGAAACTGCCATTAGATAACTTAATTCTATAACTTCTTCCACTTTTTATGTGTGACAACACTCACGATTAAAACCCCCAGTAGGGAAAATCTGATTGGTCCAGTTTTATTATGGACCCACACCTATGATTCCTGGGCCAGGGGTTCCTGTGTTTAGAAGCTCCTTTAAAATCACAAAATATAGGGGAGGTTTGATTGTCCCAAGGGTGGCAAATATGCTGTTATGAGCAGATAATAGAAGGGATGCTGGACAGATAAAAACAATAGATTTCCATTATTTTTCACCCCTTGACTGCCTAGTTCTCTCTCATGCACACAACATACACGCACTTCTTCCCATATATATAATTTTAAAAGTGCAATTATTTTATGTATAATTTTCCTTCCCAGAAGGAGCCAAATTAGTATCTAGCTACTGCATTCAAAGATGGTATTACAGTGTCACTGCTAAATGAATCCTGGATCTCTAGATTTAGGCTATTTCTTGTTCTTGAATATTCCTGTTTCATTATTCTGCAACTTATAGATTTGATGGTAAATATAACATGAGCTACTATAAAGATCTGGTTAGGATTGTGGAGCTAGACTGGAGCTAGCTCTAGACTACCTAGATTCAAAATCCATCTCTGCTACTTACTAGCTCTGAGTTTTAATCTTAACCACTTAATTCTTTGGGTCTTAGTTTCCTCATCTATTAAGTAGGGGTAATAACTTGGTAGGCTTTTTCTAAGGATTAAATATATTAATAAGCATTTAGAATAGTGCCTTATTATAGTTGGCACTCAATAAATTTTAACCATTATTAGTGTTGCCATTTTATAATAGAAAGGGGAAAAAATAGAGGGAAAATGAAAGGAAGTGTTGTATGAAGCAAGGAAATAAAGGTGGGGACCTGTTTTGTTTCTGTAATTGATCACGAGGCTATAGGTAGCATAAGATTTTTCCATTACTCATTCCATGTTCCCCATGTCTTCAACAAGAACTTTATCCAGTAGAGTTCTAAGCTTAGTGGGATCATCAGACTCTTCAGATCTAAGGCATCCCAGCTCTTGGTTCTTAGGCTTGTTTTTTGACCTTTAAATAAACTTGCTCTTAGCATTTTCACTGGCTTACTTAGGAGGCTCTGCAGGGTGATCCCTATGTTCCATCCCACCACACTCCTCTTGGCTCTCATTAGTCCTGTTTTTCTGTCCGGGTCAGGGTTATTCACCCCAGCCAGTACACAAACCTTATTTCATTTTCTGCTTGGTAGCATAAAGAACCTGGAATGGCCAGTTGGTGGTTCAACTTCCAATTCAGGGAAACATGTCTTGCTTCTCCCTGGCATCTTAAAACTTTCAGAAAACTAGAGCCTAAAGCACAAAAAGCAAAACGGTAAATAGTGGGACATTAGACTTAATTGTTAGAAGTGTCACTTGCCTACACTCCATGGCTTACAGACCAGACCAGCATATTATGGGTATATAGGCTCACTAGTTCTACCAGTATTTCCCTCATTAAGCCTGATCTGTAACTCCGGTATTCCAAGAGGGACATGTAATAAAATACCTAATAGGTAGATTTCAAACTTGTTAAATGTGACAGGTATCAAGATGTTGGAGTGTTATTTTATTTTTTAAAGTTTATTTATTTTTGGCTGTGTTGCATCTTCGTTTCTGTGCAAGGGCTTTCTCTAGTTGCGGCAAGCGGGGGCCACTCTTCATCGCAGTGCACGGGCCTCTCACTGTCGCGGCTTCTCTTGTTGCGGAGCACAGGCTTCAGACACGCAGGCTCAGTAATTGTGTCTCATGGGCCTAGTTGCTCCGCGGCATGTGGGATCTTCCCAGACCGGGGCTTGAACCCGAGTCCCCTGCATTGGCAGACAGATTCTCAACTGCTGCGCCACCAGGGAAGCCCTGGAGTGTTATTTTATATTAATACTGATTTTAGTCAGTTCCACCTGTAAAATAATATAAAGTGCAATTTAGATCAAATTTTATTTTATTCCAAATTGGGTACATTTCTTGGATTTCAAGAATAAGAAATTAGGAAGTGTGCTTTTTTGTATAATAGATGATCTAAGAAAAAGAGTTCTGGTATTCTCTAGTTTTCTTCTTAAAATTATAAACAAATGCCAGGAGATGATTGATTTCCTTTGTTTTAAAAAATTATTTATTATTTACATAGTTGCTGTTGATTTTTTTGTAGTTTTAGGCTAAATTCTTACAGAACTTTTAGAAGTTCAAGAAGTGTGAATTTATCATACTATTTGAAAAATAAAGGGCATTTCATTTTATTTATTTATTTTTGCGGTACGCGGGCCTCTCACTGTTGTGGCCTCTCCCGTTGCGGAGCACAGGCTCGGGACGTGCAAGCTCAGCGGCCATGGCTCACGGGCCCAGCTGCTCTGTGGCATGTGGGATCTTCCCGGACCAGGGCACGAACCTGTGTTCCATGCATTGGCAGGCGGACTCTCAACCACTGCGCCACCAGGGAAGCCCAGGGCATTTCATTTTAAATAGCTGAATTAGGAAACATATTTGTAATGTGACATAGGTTACATATTCTGTAAATAATATATTAGATAATAATTAAAGGGATAATCTTGCTGGAAATTAATGCATGTATTTAACAACTTATCTTTATACTTTTCTTTTGGAAGCATGGGTTGACATGTTGCTTTCTATCAGAAGTTAGTTAGTAAATATTATTTGGAGACTTCATATGAAATTTTAAAAAACCAAAAATGTGGGTTGTATTTGTGAGGGCCCACTTCCACTGCTAAATACAGAATACTTGAAGCTTTTATAAAAGCAGAATATTTGGGAGTTGAAATTCTTTTCCCCTATTTGGTCTCCTCTATTTCTCTCTTCCTCTTATGGTTATTTCACTTCGGCTATGGTTGTGGCCATTATTCAAAAGTTGGGGTTGGGGGTATAAGTTTTGCCTTTATAGCTCTTGCCCAGTTATAGGCAAAACAATTTCCTTTGTTTCCTTTAGCATATCTGAAGCATGTTAATTTTTTTCAAAAGGAGAAAAAAAGGAGCATAAAGGAAATTTGCTTAGTAGAAAAGAACATAAAGGAAATTAAGAAAATAAAAGAAGCAGAAGAATAAAATTTACAAAGTACAAGCTTCTGATCCTTTGATAATTAACTTATTAAGTCACATAATTTGTTTTGTTCATATCCTGTTTCCGAGGATGATTCCCACTCCAGAAGTTCAGTATAAATGTCACTTATGTTTTCTGGTTGTCTTCTAGTTTCAGACCTGTTTGTGCATGGCAGATACCGTTTTGTTCCTTGTTACATGAGAATGGTTCTAGATGTGGGGATATCTTCCCTGGGTCCAGATAAGTAGTTTATTTCTTATTTCTCACTAGGCCTAGGAATAGATGTCCAGATTAGGTTTGATTTTTGATTGGAGAGATACACCTCATTAGAGCTGAATGATAGTCTATCATATGTGATACAGTGCATGGCCTCACACTTCATATGAGACTCTGCTTCCTGTAGAGCTGAGAGATTGCTGACAACATAAAAATTCATCAAATAGCCATTGCATATAGACAAAGCACAGTTCTCAAGAAGTACTAAGACCATTGTCTCACAGGTTTTTATATAAAATGTATAATTACTTAGTAATATAATTTTGGGTCATTTATCTGACATATGAAAGTTCCTTTTGTAACCATTTGTAAAATAGTAGAATTGGTAATTATGAATAATCTGAAAAAAATTCTGGTTAATTTGTACAATTAAAAAAAATCAAATTGATTTTACTATCCTCTGTTGAAGTATTCAATATAAATTCAAATTGCAGTTTGAAATGTCAGATCGTAGAGACAATAGTAATGGCTTGCAAAGAATGAAAATTTGAGATCTTTTCTTTTCACATGATTTTATTATTTAATCTAACTTGTTAATTTTTTTACAAAATCATTAAAGTCTACTATTGTAGATCCAAACTCTTTAAACATAAGAATTGTGATCTTATTAAAACAGTAATCAAGTAGCTAATTGACTATCTAATTTGACTCATTTTTTAAAAAAGAAGACCTCTTTTGTGTGTTTCTTAAAAGCTGAATAAAGCTGAATAAGATGCAAACTAAAGATAGGCTCAGTTAATAGAGAATGTGAACAACTGACATGTACACGTCATGTGAAAAGGTCTGTTGGTAAATCAATAACAAAAAATCCTTATCTGATCAATCAAATGCCAACAACTGTTGGGTTGGCCAAAAAGTTTGGGTTTTTCCATAACAGCGTACACAAAATCCCGTATGAACTTTTTGGCCAACCCAATGTTAATATGAATCATCTTTGAAATGATTGAACTGTGACTGTTTAGTGAAACTAGTATGATGGAATTTTATTTGAATTAACTGGCTATTAGCCAGTTGATAAATTTCAGATTCTAGAGAATCCAGATATGTGACATGGAGAGCCATGGACAGTTCCTCCCAGGACTCTTCTCTGCAATAAACAATGTTTAAAACTAATCTGAGCATAAAACCAAGCTGTTGCCAATAAAACTGTGTAAACATCTCTGGAAATGACCAAAATGTTATTCATGAAAATAATTAATCCTAAACAAGCTTGGAAGGTTTGCTTTTCCCCTCCAATATGAGCATTTTTAGCTCATTTCTGAGGTATAAATTCTCCAGGGACCTGTAAACATAAGCATACACTCTTTATTCTTGCTCCACAGCTTTGGAGATTCCTTTGTGTTTGATTCCTGTTTTAAAACTGAGTGTTGCATTCTCTTAGAGTGTTCAAAGTACAGTAAATTTTAGTTTGAGTTCAGCATTAAAACTGACAACTCTAATTGTCATCCTTTCTTATTACCCTCTCTCATTAGACAATTGTCTTCAGTCAAGAGCCTTAACTTTCTCAGGCTGAGTTTTAAAACTATTAATATTCATATTAATATTCATATTTATCAAATAGGTATTAATTTTAAAGTGTTTCTTTTAATTATTTCATTTTTTCTCTCCAATTTAGTATAATATAAAAGGAGGCCAAAGTCTACAAAACCGGGAGAAACGTTTTAAGAAGTTTATTTCAGATGGTCCAGGGCCAGCAAGCTATGATCAGTCTTATCCTGGAACGTCAGCTATGAACAGAAAAATACTAGAGGCTAAAGAGCGTCTTCAGTCAGTACGTGCTATTTTGAATTATGCTTCTAAGGCTTTTTTAAAATTTAAAATAAAGTAGAAATGGTTTACTGTTTCATGTGATTAGTACATTTAAAAAACGTACCATAAAAATTAGTAGGTTTATTAGTATCCATATTGTAGTTTATAATTAAATGAATATTTGATGTTTATAAACTTTAGTTTTTAACCATGTTAATATTTGACTTCACTTCTGCTTTTGATAAATCTATAATATCTCTTCTAATGTCTGTGGTAAACAGAAAGTAAGGGAGATTTAAAAAACTGCCTGAGTGGTTTACCTCTCTATATAGAGGAAACTCCTGTGCAAGTATTGTTAATAATACCATGAAATTTGAAACATGACTCCTGAAATAAATAAGCTCAAAATTTAGATGAGAGAGATAATATAGATCATTACTAATGCAAGATGAAATGTGACAGCTGCTAAGTGAATGATCATGTGGTTAAATGCCATAGGAATTTAAAGGAAGAAGATGTATTTCATAACAGCTTATAGAAAAACCTGAACGAACTTTTCGGCCAACTCAGTGTTATGAGAGAGTCTAATTTGTAGAGGATTTATAGAGGAGGTTGGCTTTGAAGAATAGGGTTGGAATATGCATTCTAGGCATGGAGGACTACACGAGTGCAGATAGAGAAGTGGGATCTTATGGAGGACAATGAGAGGATTATTTTGACTGGAGTGAAGAATTTGTGTAGGAGATTAGCAGGTGATATGTTTGGAAAGGTACATTGGTGTTATATAAAGAATAATCTTTACACCAAAAGCCTACCCCTTTGAAATAATTAATAAAATCTAGCAGATTTTGGTCACAGTTTATTTAGCATAGTTCCCTCTCCTCTTTCCATAACAACTTCACATAGCTCATATTAATTAAAGTTTAATCAGTTCTTTGTTTAGGTGGATATATTTTAGGGCTAAGTACTCAGTTGAATAATGTCAGTGTAATGACAATAAGGTTAAAGTTTATAAGTATACTTAAATATCAGCTTTTTCATGTGTGTGGACAAAGTAAATGTTCATTTACTCATGAAAGTGTTTATCAGACATTTTTTGAGTAACTATGTGAACCAGACATAATGCTAGGCACTGATAATACTTAGAAGATAAATCACTGCTCCCTGGGATCTATAACTTTAACAGGGAAGTAATGAATGGAATTCAGCACAAAACAGTTGATGAAATGCTATTTTAATAAACATTTAATAAAAATTTTTACTAGTAGCCCGAAGTAGATAGTTTTTGGAGGGAATTAGGGATATCACAAACTGGATGTTGAAGAAACATTCACTAAGGTTGGGGCTACATTTTGGAAAGTCTTGACATCATGCAAATAATTTTTGAAAGTAGTGAATGGAGGGGAGGCCATTCAATACTCTCCTGTTTTAATTTGGTAACCAGTCTCATAAGTATCACTGAAACTACTTAATAGTTGTCTCTAATGATAAAAAAAGTGAAATTCTGCCAGTGATAGTATGTTTATGACACAATTATATATTGGGCATGTGTGCACTCAACTCTAGCATTTATTTATTTATTTAAAACCTACAGAGCATCAATATATTCTTTTTTTTGATAGAAGTTGCAGACTCTATTTATTTTTATTTCTTAATGAATATATGAGCTTCCCTTCATTTTTCCTTGTTGGTTATCTATTTTAAATATATCTATTATAAATATATTCTTAATAAGTAATTTTTCATATTACTAAATTATTTAAATGCCAGTATTTTATTTGATGTATTTTATACTGGTATTTCTAATATATGTTACTCCTTTCTGTTTTTACTTAAATTATAAAATGTTTTCCATTAAAGGAAATTTTGAAAAAAGGATAAGCTCCTTAAAACTTCTGACTCTAACATTGACAATTCTGTTAATTTTTGCATAGCTCTTTTCAGTATCAAATCGTATATGTATATGATTTTATACATTTACATATAATTTTACATAACTTACATAGCTATAGTAATAAATTCAGTTTTATATTTTATACTCTAAATTTCCATTTAGCATCATATCATACATTTTCCTTGCTACATGTTCTGCAAAATTAGGATATTTATTCAGGGCACCGGTAAGATGAAGGTAAGTCAGGAGCTGGAAAGGAATGAAGCCAGAGAATGTTACAGAAAATATAAAGTTTGTTTTTACCTGGCAGATACTATGATAGCATAGCACAAGTAACCACTTTGAACTGCTGATTGTTGATGTGACTGTAGGAATGAATGCCTGTTTTTGGAATCACTAATGCTTGCTATACTAAGCAAGATAAATAACTGAGCCAGGTGAGAGATTCCTTATCTCTAAAAGTGGCTTTAACAGTAGTTTAGTTTATATTATGGTTTATGTTACTATTTAATAGTAGTTTGGTTAAATCTTGGTTTATATTGTGAGGTAAGACTTGAATTCACTCTTTTAAATTACTTTTACAGACAAACATTTTTGGTTTATATTATAAAACTCATAAAGTCAATATTGAATAGTTGTCTTTTAGTAAATTTTAATATTTGTTTATTCATTCCTTGCCTTTGAGTAAATAATATAATTTTTTTTTACAGAAAATGTCAAGGGCACTTACAGTTTCCAGAAGTGTTGATATTCGTTCAATTCCTTCTTGTGGACGGTCATATGGTTATCATATTAATGAGGATGGCAGTATCACAAAACATTTTCCACCTGCTATTGACAGTACACTAGGTCCAGCATACTATAAACCTCAATTTATAAGTATGATACATTTCACATTGACAGTTGGAAGACTGTTTATGATTATGCATGTTCTAGTTAATGTAATACTAACTGCAGTAACAGATAGACCCCCAAATCTCAGTGGCTTAATGCAACAGAAAATCTTTTTTTTCCTCATTCATATGGACATTTCTTGTTGATAAGAGATGTTCCTCCATGTAGAGATTCAGGGACACAGGCTTATTCCATTCATGTTACTGTCATCTCCAAAGGCCTTGGTGTCATCTGTATCCAGCTGGCAGAAGGGGAAAGAGGACAGAGAACTGGTAGTGGGGGTTTTTTGTAGGCTAGGTCTGGGAGTTAAATTTCAGGCACATGGACACACTTAACTGCCAAGGAGCCTGGGAAATACAGTCTAACTCTATCCAGGAAAAAGAGGAAATAGTTTAATAGTTTAAGCTTAGGCTTAAGCACCTTATGAAACCATTTAGTTTTTGGCAATAGGTATACTAGGGTATTTTGGAGTCTTAGATACTTTGCATTGTTAAGTTTTTATTCCTAAAATATTTTTATTATAATTTATATAATTGCACATAGACCTGAACAAACATAAAAACAGATAACCATGTACCCACCATCTCATATAACACATATTAAAATTTTATTACACTTGAGTTAGCTATATTTTAAAATAAATATATTATTACAATTATTACCCTACCCAGTTTCCCTCCCTCCATTCTTTTCCCTTTGCCAAAGTAAACAGTAAATCTTTACTACATATAAATAACAATATGTATTGTTGTATGTTTTAAAACATTTAAGTAAATGTTATCATCTGGCATGCAGGTTGCTTGCTATTTCACTTAATGTTATATTCTATAGATTTAGCTATATCAATATACTAGATCTAATCCATTCATTGTTTCCAATTAGTGAGTTTCTTTTTTAAAAAAATAATTTTAAATTTTGAAATAATTTCAGATTGATAGAAAAGTTACAAGAATAATACAAATAATTCCCATATACCTTTCACTTAGATCCTGCAGTTAACACTTTATCACATTTGCTTTATCATTTCCCCTCTATATTTATATTCTTATTTTAATTAAGCAATTTCAGAGTACATTTAAGACATGATGCCCCTCTACTCCTAAATACTTTTAATGTAAAATTTCTAAAAACAAGAATTCTCTTTTATAACCACAATGTAATTATCAAAATCAGAAAAAATTCATTCATATAATCCTATTATCTGTAGATATTTTAAAAATATTACTAATTATCTCAATGATATTCTTTAAAAAATGAGTTTTGGTCAAGAGTCCCATCTGGTATTACAAGTTGCATTTAGTTGTCGTGTCTCTTTAGAGTCCTTTCATTGGGAACAGTTCTTCAATCTTGCTTTGTCTTTTGTAACCTTGACTTTTTGAAGAGTACAGGCTGTTTATTTTGTAGACTATGTCTCAGTTTTGGATTCGTTTATATTTTATCACGATTAGGATGAGT